TAAGAGATGTGATAGTTGATAATTAAGCATATTAAATTGAAGGCTTCATTCACTTTGAAGTTTAGAGTTTCTTTTTCAAAGCAATATTTTTGTTTTATTAAAATGGCCAATTTTCACTTGATGAAAATTACCCTTCTATCTTTTAATATGTCATCTACATTAATATATTAAGCTATAGTTTATCTCATTTGGACTCTTAAAAATTCTTTTTCAGATATATTTCTGTCTAACACAGGGTAAAGTTCTGCAAAGGTTCTTAGTTTGGAGATTTTTTATTTTTTTAAATTCTTACTGGTTTTGATGTTTTAGTATTTACCTGTTCATCCCCAATTCATCCACCTCCAAATACTGTCCCCAGCAGCAGTCTACCTTATTTTGGAACTGTGTGAAGCAAAGGATGACTGTAACATCACTTCACTCAAATGAGTTACGAAGTTGAGGCATCCACAGGGCTCACTTGAGCAACCCTCTTTCCTTGGAGAAGGTTTGGGTTTTGCCTCTGTGGTCTGGTATGGATACTAAGAAAATGTTAACTAAGTTAAATATTAAGCTATCAATTGAGACAGTTTATTATTACTTCCCCACTTCAGGCATACAGATTGTAGTCCTAGTCCTTTTCTCTTGCCCATTTCTGCCCCCTTGGACTCATACTCATCCCAGTAATTCTCCATATACTGATTACTTTTAAATAGCAAGGTGGATAATAATAATAATAATGAACAGTTTTAACACTTTCAGTGTCCTGGGCCCTACTTCAGGTGTTTTTCATTTTTTACCTGTAGCAATGTAGCTATGAATTCAAATGATATTAGAGAGAAAATATTAAATAATTTTCCTTAAAAAAAAACCTTGTAAGAAATTTCTTCCTAGCTGTTTGTTAAGTTGAAACTGTTTTGTTTTCTTTTTTGTCATGCTGTTAAAGATCTATGATAATAGATAAAGGTTCGGTAAACTAACAAATTAGTATATAATTTGAAATTGCATAATTAGACATGAATGCAAATTTAGATAGATTTTATACCATGCAAAATTTAAATTAAGTTTTTTAATGGATTACTATCTTAAGTACTGTTTTTAATTAAATCTAGTTCAGTTAACCATTTCTAGCCAAAACATAAAAAAAACAAACCTGTTGCCATCAAGGTGATTCCAACTCTTAGTGGCCCTACATGACATAGTAGAACTGCCTCATGGGGTTTCCAAGTCTATAAATCTTTATGGAAGCAGATCGCCACATCTTTGTCGCTCGGAGCAGCTGGTGGATTTTGGACCTCTGACCTTTCAGTTAGCAGCCAAGTGCTTAACCACTGCACCACCGCGGCTCCTTATTAAGACTATCTATATATAATTCTAGAAGATTCTCATTGTCTTGTTGTCAAAGTGCAGGCTGATTCTCGGGTATTATTCATATCATATCAAGTGTTTCAATGTATTCTATTACAAATTCACTGCTTCTCTGTATAAAATTTAAATAGTGGTAAAATCAGTCCACAATACAATGTATTAGGTTAGTTCTGTTATTACTTTGTAGCAAATATTATTCTAATAGATTTCATTATAAAAATTTTACATAATAAACATATTCATAAATCCCTATCTTTGAGTAGTAGTCAATCTTACAGAATTTTCTTTGTTTTCTATTACAACAGGTATTACTTTTAAACTTTTTATTTCCCCCTCCCAAAATACCTATATAGTGTAGATAAAAATAATTGCTTTAGATTTGGAAGAACATGCTGAAATGAAGCTTTTGCCTTACTTACATTTGAGAAATTACATACTTTTGAGGAGTTCCAAGTTTGAAAAATAGATTGGTGAAATGCTCAGTAGAGACAGGTGTGGATTAAGGAAATACAGAAAATCCAGACTAAACAATTTATGACAGGAAACTTTGTATAGAGAGTAAAGATGGGAGAAGAAGAATGAAGTTAAGGGCATCTGTGGAATAGATTTTGTAGCCTTTGGAGGCATGTCTGTGTATGCATCTATATGTTTATATAGCCTTGTAACCTAACACAACAAGGAATTGTATTCTCAAAAATTAAAGCCATCATACTGTACTTACTTTCCAAATGTTCTTTAGTGCTTCTTGATGTCTGTATATTTCTGCTCACACCTACCTTTAATATAGCCAAATGACATTCTTTTTTTCACTAGCCACCTCAGTCTCTGCCTTTGTCTTTCAATTCTGAAACACCTTCCTTTTTGCTTTCCTAAATCATGTTGTATCATTTTGAAGATGGGAAGTTTTGCAGTCAGCAATTACTGTGTTGTCATGGTTAGGAAACAGTCTTAGTGTATTCCTTCACCTTCAGTATGACCTTTCATCCCCGATGAAAAAACACAAGTTGAAAGTAATGTCAAATTTTAAGGTGCATCTTACATTTAAGTATAGTCAAGGTAATAAAATGCAGTTATAATGAAGTTATAAATAAGTTTTGACCTAACCTGGAAGTCAGTGTTTAAGAAATTGGAAAATCTCACCTTTGAACAGTGTTCTACTTCTTATGAATTATGAAGATGCTTGGAAAATAGCATTTAAATTAGGTTGTTTAAATAAAATTCTTAAATCTAGGAAATACTTGTCTGATATCAAAATGTGCTGGTTTTCAGAGGAAACAAGTCCCAAATTACAAACGTCCTGTTTATCTTAGTTTACAATATGGGACAAGTGATAACAGACATTAAAAGCATTTACATGTATGCAAAGATGAATTTTTTTGGTTACTAAATGCATTTAAGTGATAAACCTTTTTAGCAACAAACAAAAGGCTCTGGTGGTTCATAGTTAGTCATCTTCCTTGAAATGAGGTAATTGAACAGAAATACCCAGGAAAACTCAGGATTAATGGGTTTTTCTTAACCATCACAAATCTATTTTGAAAAGATTCATTGTTTTTAAAAATAAAATTTTAAAAAAAGGTGATAATTGCCACTAAAATAGCAATATATCTACAATTGATCATTGTTTGGCTTACCAAACGAATCAGGTGTGTTTGGCCACAGCTCTACCAAATATTTCAGGATAATAATATCAAGATTAATTAGAAGAATTTAAAACAAGTGTTAGGAAAGCAGTTATTCATATTAAGTATGTTTCTGCATACACTTAAACACACTTTTTAAACATCAGAATAGGGTTGAAGAAAGAACTTTCATTATTCCACGTTATCTTTATTTTTTGTACCTTAATTTATTTAAACAATCCATTTAAGTTATTAATTTTTTTACTATAATAAGCAATGCTACAGTTAAAATTTTTGTTCTATCCATACGTTTTGTCATTGCTGAAAGAGCTCCAGTAATGTCACAAGTGAATAAATTTTTTATACCTCATCCCTAAACGATGGTGATTAGATACTGTGGTTTGGCTTATTTTCATTTGCTGGGGTGTAGGGTGCGTGGCTTATTTTGTTTTTGATGAGTCAAGATATTAAGAGAGAATACTTGACTTAATAGGATTAAAAACAAGTAAACTTTATCATTCTAACCTGGAGATGGAGATAGTGTAATATTATTAGCATATTGATAATCATTTGAAATTTGTCTTTCACAAGTGATCAGTTCTTAGGGAAATTCAGTAGTTGTGTAGTCACGTAAACTTGCCTCTCTTCTCTGTTTGTAAAATGGAAGTCGGTTATAAAACTTTAGTGCTCAATAAGATAATTTTGTAACTGCTACCTGAAAAAGACATTGCTGTTGATTCATTTTTTAGAATGGGAAGAACTAAATGAGTATCTTAAAGAGCATGCCTAACTTCAGGCAGTTATAATAGAACTCTGGTAGCATAGTGCCTAAGGCACTTAACTGCTAACCAGAAGGCTGGTGGTTCAAACCCACCAGCCACTCCTCAGAAGGAAGGTTGGGCAATCCTACTTCTGTAGTGATACTGCCTCGGAAACCTAAGGAGGGGTCGCTATGAGTTGGGGCCGACTCGACGGCAAATAACAACAACAACAACAACCATATATTTGACATTATCTTCTACCATTTGGGCCTTGGATATTACAAAGATAGGGTAAAATATAGTCCTTAAATCCCAGAATCTTTTGTTGCATACTTTATCCTTGTTTTTCCCTAAAACATTCCCAGAATTGGATTTTTGTCATGAGGACATTTTGTGTGGATATGTTCTTTATTTTTTTAATCTGAGTCTGGTGAGTCTGGGGCATGGTCCAGTGCCTGGTACACTATAGGTGTTCCTATAAATATTTCTATATCACAAAATAAATATATTTTAGAAGAGTCAAAATCTCTTAAATCACTTTTAGTGGTTAAACACATGGCTTATATTTCTGTGCTTTTTTAATATTGGCTTATATTAGAAGAACTACATTAAGTGTAGGCAAGAAATAAGAAACTAAGGTATATAAGGCAGCTCTTTGGGTACTGTAGTCTTTCCTTAATATTGACCATTTTTAGAACTAGTATGTTTGACATATTTTGTCTCAAGTACCCAATAATGCTCATTTAGGTGCTATATCTGAATTAGTAGATATAGAACAACAACATTAACTTCTGAAAAATTCTGTTTAAAATAAAAGAATTATTAGCAGGTGATTGTTGAGAAGAAATTAATTGTTGAGGAAGGTCATTGAGACAGGTCAGCTAGAAGTGGACACACAGCCTGCCTAATAATTTGGATGGATGCTACCTGGCTGGAAGATGGAGTTGACTGGTGGATCAAAATCTCAGAAGCCTTCCATTTTTAGTTTGTTTATTAAAATTATATTCCAGTGAAGTACCTATTGTATGTTTCTGTTTAACTATTAAAAAATGATCACCAGTGATTATTATTACCCTACCAAAAGATGTTTTAAGTGATTCCTTGTGTGTGAAATATATTTGGCTTGAGTGATCATCTAGTAAACTTTTCTGTTACTCTAATATATGTACTTCTTGATTATATGCATTCAAAGTTAGAACACAGCATATTTTATGAATGAGTGGTTTCTGTTTTATATGTTTATTTGTTGAAGCCTATCTTTATATTTCTTCAGGTTTATGTGAGATTAAGACCATTCTTCAGGGAATTCCTGGAACGAATGTCTCAGATGTATGAGGTAAAAATGCTTAAGCTAATTATGTATTTATTTTTATTTTATTCATAATGCTCATATTTAGATCATGTATAATGATTACTTCTTTTCCCCTGAATTTGTAGATCATTCTTTTTACTGCTTCTAAGAAGGTGTATGCAGACAAGTTACTGAACATACTAGACCCTAAAAAGCAACTGGTCAGGTAAATTTAATTAAAAAATAGTGGAAATGTCTGTCACACTGACCTATGAAATTATTATGGTTCTGTTTAGTTTTAACAGCCATTTTAAGTTGGCTACATATATGGAGAACTGTTGTATCGAATGGTGAGAATAAATGAACTTTTTAAGCTCCAAAACTCTTAAAAGAGTTCCTAATGATAGAAATCCAGACAGACATTCTTTAAAAGGATACAAAGATCAAATGTATTTATTCACTGTGACATCTGTATCCTTCTTTTCTTTTGGGGTTGGGAGGAAGACTGGGTGTGTGTAAAATTTTTCATTGTGTGCATAATGTTTTTACCTTCTTATATCTCTGAGATGATGCATATTATATCACCATTTTTATTGGCTGTAGAGAAATAAAGTTAATTTTAACAGAAAAGATTAACTCAAACTCACTTGCATTTTTCAAGAGCAAATTTATCCTCCATGGAAGGAACATGTAACCTGAATAATAATTAGAAATTACAAAAGCTTTCGTCAGTGAGATTATTCTGATCTGTATTCAATTCCTGGTATGTGCCCTGAGTCAGAAGATAGAATGTGTTCCTGGTTAGGTAGGAGTGCCTTGGATTGTTTTAAAGCAGTCTCAAAGTTAGTTCCATTAATTTCTGACAACTGAAATGAGAGATTAACAATGCTGCAGTCTTGCTGAATCCTTTAAGATATAAGAATTAATCTTTGAGGCTTTGAGTAGAGTTGAGATAGATGCCACAGAAGGTTCATAAAAATTTTAATGGTTGGATGTTAATTTTCTTGAATATTTTCTCCTGTAGTATCTCAGTGGAAAATCCTAAAACTTAATTTTCTACTGTTAAAAATACCTTTATTATTGAGTGAGTACAGTAGAGTTGTTGAGTGATACAGTGATTGAGTGGGTACAACTATACTGAAAAGCTTTTCTAAAGAATCCAAATTTCTCCTTGGAGTCAATTTCCATGGCATTTTCTATTCACAAAAGATTGATCCAATTTATGCCCAGTTTTGTTGTTTGGTGCTGTCATGTCAGCTCCCATAATGCCCGTGTCTGCAACAGAACATAACACTGCCTTGTCCTGTGCCATCCTCACATCTTCACAGTGGCTGCGATGATGGGCTCAAACATAGTTACAGTTTGTGCTATAGCTCAGACATATAACTGTGTTTGAGCCCATCATCGCAACCACTGTGTCAGTCCATCTTGTTGAGGATCTTCCCCTACTTCGCTGACTTTACCAAGCATGATAGCCTTCTCCAGGGGATTTATACCCAATTTACTTAACTTCAATAAAAATACATAAATGATTTTGCTTTTGGTAACTTCATTTATTCTGAAGATTTCTACTCGGCCCCTCCAATGTTCTAGGAAACAGTGAGCAACACAAAGCCCTTCCCTCTTGGAGCTTTCATTTTACTGTGTGACAAATCATAGTCATGCCATTTAAATATATCATGAATTAACGCCCCTCTCTGAAACTGTTTTTTATAAAATCTGAATATCTGGTAGTTTTACATTTGTTTTATCTAGTTGTGTTTTGATAAAGTTAAAACAAGCATTTTGAATAGATTTTGTGTTAAATTGCCATAGAGAATTAAAAGACTAAGAAATTCCTGTGATCTCTGAATCCCATCAGTCCAAATGCAAATTTGTTAGTGTGGAGGATCTGCTAGTAAATGACTGGCAAAAGGAATTTCTTTCTAAAACTGCTAATACTTGTTATCGACCCTCAGATTCCTGAAAAACTGGTGGGATTTTAGTTTGATTTAATTTGAATTTAATCCAGTATCTGCATACATACTCAGTTGAACACTCTCTTGTCAGTTTGTTGTCTTAGTGAAGAGTCATCAACATGAATAGAAGTAAAATAAGGAATGTAATTTAGGCCCATATAGGACTTCCAATTATTTTGTCTGCTCTTATTTTTTTTCAAAGTAGGACTGTCTTTGACCCTTCCAAAGGCAGATGATCATCTAATTTAAAGTATCCCTTAAAATTTTAACAAGGGGAAAAAGAACCATTTGTGCTAAATTTTGTCCATACGTAAAATTCTTCCTCTTTGCTATTACCACCAGCACTATTATTTTGAAGATAAGAGGTTTTGATTGTTTTTGTTTTTGTAGACCTATGGCAGATTTTGTGGGTAGAAAATGTCCTTTTCTTGAAATTACATAATTAAAAATAGAGGTATGAATAGATCCTAGCTCCTTAAATCAATTATCACTACTATTTGGCAACTTTAATATTTTGAATTCTAAAGGTAGATTACAGAATTCTAGAAATACTATTATAAAACTTTTTATAGCTTTTTAAAAATGATTTCACATTTTTCTTATTAGTATCTAACATATTGGTGAAACATCAGTTTAACTTTTCTGATACTTAAATCTGAACTTACCTTTTCACCCAACCCTAGTTTTCCAAATGATCATACATACACTCACACTAAATTAAGAGAAATAAAGAGAGTTGGGAAAGTGTTGAAATGATGGAATGTTTTGGCCTCAGTACCTTTTCTCAAAAATATAAGAGAAACTAAAAACATTTTTTTAAATGCCAACAAAGAAACATTCCTTCTTATATTTTCTATTCTGGCATGTACAGGGATAGGGAGGCTGTGTGGTCTACTGGTTAGAGCAAAGGCCTGGGAGCCAGGAGGATCCTGGGTTCCAATGCGGGGCTAACCACTGACTTACTGTGTGACCTTGGGCAAGTCACTTGACCTCCTTGTGCCTCAGTCAACTGGAAAATTGGTTAAAAAGCAGGACCTCGCTGACAACCAGATGCTGCATCTGAGCTGAGCTTTCCTGGGTAAATAAATTACCAAAAAATTTACAGAATTTTTAATCCCTCTTTATAATTTAACATAACATCTTGGGGATAAACCAAAGTTCTTTAAGGCATGGTATTATTTGGTTGTAAGGTTTAAATAACTGCTAAGAATTTTTACAGTAAAAGTGTAGCCCAGAGCTTAGACTGGTATTTGTATTTATTTCCTTAGTGAGAGAAAAGGCTTAACCTGTAAAGCCTGTGGTGTGTGTATGTTTCATTATATGTTGTACTTTTTAGAGATTTTTAAAAATTAATTTGATTTTATTTTTATGTTTAGGCATCGACTTTTCCGTGAACATTGTGTTTGTGTACAAGGAAACTATATCAAGGACTTAAATATCCTTGGAAGAGATCTTTCAAAAACTATAATAATTGACAACTCACCACAAGCCTTTGCATATCAGGTAGGAAGAGGGTTACTAATCATACTGGAAAAAATATAATGAGGACAAATGCTGCCAAACAGAATATGATGGGAGAAGAACAGAATTATTAATGGTAGAATTTCTGTTTAGAGTCATCTTCTAGAATTAAGGGCCTGTTACTGTATTAATTAGAAGTGTGAAATTGGTATAACCCTTATGGAAATTTTAACTTCTAAATAAAAATCTGAATAAAGAGTAACTGTGAGATACACTCCTTCAATAACATTCTTATCAGTTTTCTAATTTATGATTAAATTACTGATTAATCATAACCATGTTTGAGAATTATAAATAGCTTAGCCATATTCTGCTCTGGTTTGTTTATTTGATTTGACATTCTTAAATTATTTTCTTTATAAACAGACTGTTCAGTATATTTGTACCTTTTGCTAATGCTTTTTTGAAATATAACAGATGAACCATCCTTATAAGATACTATACATAATATAAATATGTTCAAGTGATACAATGCTTGGAATTTGCTTCAGAATAAATCAATGCAGAATAGGGGATTAGAAAAAGGGTTGGAATATAGATGAGATAAGATTGACCCTTAATTTCTGTGTGTGTTTCAAAATGTTCCTAATAGAGAGTACAAAAGGAAAAAAAATGTATGTTACTGAAATGTGTTCAATTTAGGTCACTACATTTATTTGCTTTCATTTTGAAATGATCTGTTTTTAGAATTTCATCTTGGTTCCTACATAAAATGCTTTCAAGTAGATTTCTTCCATCTCAAGCAAAATCTTTGCCTAAAAGTTAAAAATAAAGATATTTTATCCTGGAGATTGTTTACTATAAAACAAATACAGGTTGCATTCTTGGTTTTAGATTGTTCTTCAGTGAAGTACCATTGAGTTGATTTGTTAAATATGTATTATATTTCAGGTTATACTAGTTTTGAAAGTATATGATTTCTGGTAGTTTGAATGTTCTCTGTTTAGATTATCAGTCGCTTTTTATTCACAATGCCTACCAGTGTTGTACTAAGTTAACTCTTGAATGAGTAAAGGAATGTGTTTAGTTGTGTTTATAGTCCTTGTAAAATTTGTTTTGATAGAACTTTCTTATTGTTTAGTGTTACAAACACTGAAGAAATTATACTGAAAAACCAATTAGGTTTCACTTTATTTCTTGTATCTCTTGCACTATTGAGATACCAAAGAATACAGCAGTATAAACTCTGGTGGCATTCCTTTTTAAAGGAATTTATAGATCAGTGTTTTGTTTTACTTAACCCTTTCAAGACTGAGTTATTTACAACTCTGAATTTTTTGTTGAAACCATTTTTTCAGTAATGGAAAGCATTTTAAATGAAATTTAAAAATATGTATCTTTTGTGAGGTAATAGGGATTTTGATACAGTTAACCCACTGTCATTGAGTTGATTCCAACTCATAGTGACCCTATAGAACAGAATAGGACTTGCTCCATAGGATTTCCAAGGTTATAAATCTTTAGGTAAGCAGATTGCCTCATCTTTCTCCCTTGGAGTGGCTCAGTAGTGTTCAGAGTGAGCATATATATCCCATGGGGTCTTTGGTGCCTGCACTTGGTATGATGGAACCTGTCTTCAGATTAGCACAGTTATATAGCACCATGCACTGAAAGTGTGGGATAGCACCTTCCCATTAATCCCCAGAGACAGAAAATGTAGGTGGTACTGTATATCTCATGAGTCATGAAAGGGTGAAATTTGTTTCTTTCTTGCTAAAACTTTTCAAACAAGGCAAAGTATAAATAAAAAATTATTTAATTTCTTTTTTATCATTTTAGCTTTCTAATGGAATCCCTATAGAGAGCTGGTTTATGGATAAAAATGACAATGAACTCCTAAAATTGATTCCATTTCTGGAGAAGCTTGTAGAACTGGTAAGTATATCATTTGGTCTTTTCACTTTAGTTTTTCTTAGCTCAGTTATACTGAAAAAATCTTTTTAATTGCTTTACTTTTTGTGTACTAAGTCATCTGTTGTGGGAGATAAAGGAAAAGGTTGAAAAGATAACATGCAGTTTTGAACCTTATATATTACACTAAAATTGTGCTTCTAAATTTTAAAACTTAGTAGCTTAAATGTTTTTACTTTATAGCATGTCATTGGATTTCCTCCTACAAGGCACAAACCAGTTTTGTTAGAAATAGCATAAACTAGTTTTCATGGTCAGGTCTAGAATTAATGCTCCTGCAACTGAAACCTTATTCTGGGGATTTTTTTCCTCTACATTCATATTCATGGATCAATCTTTTTTTTTTTTTTTAATTGTGATTTGGGTGAAAGTTTACAGAGCAAATTCACTTTCTGTGCAGCAATTCACATACCTATTGTCTCATGACATTGACTACAATTTACCCCAGTGCAACAGCTCCCCTCCCACTTCCTCCTGATTGTTACTTCTTCCCTGTATCTATCCCTCCATGCACTCCTGCCCCCTGAACTGTGCATAAACAGCCCTTCCTTCTCCCATGATTGTTCTCTCCAAAGAGTATATCTACCTCAGGTACATGTTCAACTCATATGCCATGAATCAGTCATTTTAAGACTGAGGTATAAAGTAGAAGTCAGTGCCTTAACCTTTTTGCTATGTTTTGACTTGGCCTCTTACACTTAATTACTCTTACCAAAATCAAAACTTTAATGAAATTTTAACAAAATCTAAATTTAATTCTGAGTTAACTGTTTCTGTATAGTATCTTTATATTTGGCAAACAAAATAATGCATGTTGTAAGTAAAAATAGCAGTGTGTTTTCTCTGCCAAGTAAGAATGTTTATAACATCTTATTTTTGAAATTGTGTAACTTTTAAAACATTATCTTTTTTCCATACAGAACGAAGATGTCCGACCTCACATCAGAGACAGATTTCGCTTGCATGATTTGCTGCCCCCAGATTAAATACAAAGACTTGTCAGATCACTGAAGGGGGAGAGAATGCAGGACCCTTTTGGACTAAGACAAAAAACATTGCCATTACTGTTGAAATTTTGCATTTTTGTACCCCGTCTTGCTTTTCTTATCTTTGGTGCCCAATAATAATCAAGGGTTACAGAGAGAGACTTTATCTATCTCAGATTGAATACATACAGTAGGTAGGCTAAAACAGAAGAGTCTTTAGAACTAGTGCAACTCCAGTGAAATTTTTTTATGTACAGGACATCTGCAGTTTATAAAGAATTCTGTTTCTGCCACCAGCAGTTTGACCTGTAGTCACACAGGATTTTATGATAATAACAGAGATGAAAATGGACTTTTAATTTTCTCTCTGTTTGGTGCTCTAAGTGGGTTTGTAGCCACTTTTCTGTTACTTTAAGATTCTCATTTCAACAGGAATGGCCAGTAAAAGTTGTTTTATTTTTCCTGTTAAGGTTTATAACCTTTTTACATTTTTGACCTGTATTAGATTAGAATTTCATTATGCATTCCTTTTAGTTGAGGCGCTTCATAGTTTTCTGGAAATAGTCAATTTTTAGTTTTTTATTATACATTTGAATGGCCGTTTTCCTGCTTTGTCTGCCTGCATATTGTATATTTGTTTAAAAATATTCTCTGCTTTTAGTCCATGTAAGTTTCATTTAGAAAGACATACATTTATATTTGGTTTCTGTAATATTCTACTGTAGGTGAAATCTTTTCAAAAATCAAGAGACTGGGTAGATAAGAATATATGAATGACTAATATTCAAAAGATTTAAACCATTGTGATAGCATGTATTCCAAATGGTAATATCTTGCAGTGGCACACAGATTTAATGGATAAAGGTATACCTCAGACTTCACTGTGCTCACCAATCTTTGAGGAGGCTGGGTTTGGTCAGCTGTTGGGCTTGATTTGGTTACTGCTGCCTTTGGTTTTCTTCAGGAATGAAGTATTCAGCACAGTGACTCAGTATTTTTAGTTATTTTGCATGGGCTGGTAGTACCTCTGTTATGCTCTCAGTTACAATCAGCTTAAAACTATGTGTAACAGTTTTGGTACCTAACACTAGCTATGCATAATCCTGTGGCACAGTACACTCCCGAGCCACCAATGCAGTTAATATGCTCTCATAGTGGTTTTCTATGCTATATGAAAATAGTCTTCAAGCCTTGGTTCTCTAATGCAGCTACCATAAAGAGGTTGATATTTTTATAGTGGTGTGTAATCTCCTTTTCAAGAGGCTTTTTATGGAAGGTAGAATTTGTAAAAGTTAGTATGCTTTGCCTCTACTGCATTAACATGCCATAGGCTCAGACTGTTTTTGTGTAAAGGATGTCAAAGAACGGCACTTTTTCTAAAGAGAAGTTTGATATTTTGTATGCTTGTTAAGAAAGTACAGTATTGGAAATTAAAGGTGGACAACTGATAATTGAGGAGTATGTCAATTAATTTTTTATGTATATTACCTGTTTACTTGTACAACTTTATTGTACAAATTACATGCAGCTTCATTTTCAAATGAGTCCTTAAAATAAGGAAATCTTTTTAGGAAAACATTTAATTTTTGTATTTTTGATTTTAAAGGCATGAGTTATGTCAGTTTTCAGTGTATTAATGAAGATTTTAACTTTTCATCAGGTTGAGTGTTTTCTTACTATATTATCTGTTGTGTATGTAGTTAGCATATTGTGTCACTGAACTGTTTAAAAAATTAGCATGTAGAGCAAGCCTGTTTTGTGGAAAATCCTTATTCATTAAAAAAGTAATCATGGCAGATTTTCTGCAAAAAAAAAAAAAGCATTTGCAATTCAGAATACTGATTTTTTTTTTTTTTTTTAATTTAAAGAAAGGTATTTTGCTTGCAGGAAAAAAATACTACAGATTCATTTTAATGAGAATCTTTGAAATGTATTTATCTTTAGGGCATCTGGGCATCTTTATGCTGTTTGTCTTCTGTCTTTCTTGAAATAAAATGTACATAACATTACCTTTACATATGCTCTTACTCAAAATTGTGAACCTAGTTATATTTCGCCCTGCTCCCTTCCCTTTAATGCTCAAATAAGCAAACCCCAGAACCTATACAAGATCAGAACTTTCAGTGTGCATTATAACTGCTGAAAGTTTTTCTGATTAAATAAATACAATTCCAAAGGGCTTTCCAACATTAAAAGGGAAGTATAAACACCTATACTATTGTGCCTGTGAGCACTTTAATAATGAGCACCAACTTTTAAATTAATCCTCTTTTATTAATGGTAAATCTGTTTTCAGTCCCATGCTAGGAGAATTAAAGGCAACTGACAAATGAACCAGGCATAACAAACTTCTGTAAAGAAACTGAGGGAAATTTTTATGGCCCAAGAACATTTGACAACAATTTAATATTTTCTTCGGGTCATTTTAAATTTGTTGTTAATATAAAACCTTAAATAATTTAAAGAGAGATAATTTATCAACCTTCCTTCCTCCTATTTAATGTTTTATTTTCCAGTACCCTTTTTCTTTATTGGTACATGTTATCTTAAGCACTTCCACTTACTTAAATGAAAGTGCATATTTAATGAATTGAGATATGCCTAGCCCTTCACCTCACACAGGAAACATGAACTCTTAAAGACCGACTGTAGTAAATGCAGGAGAGATGGATGATACCCGATGAGACACAGCAGAAGTTGACCTATGTACACATTACAGCTCTGAAGTACCTATTAACATGTGATACTTCCAATGATAAATGTCTGGCTTTTAAGGCATTCTTTTAACTATTTGTATCATTGTTAGGATGTTTTAATCAGTTGTGTTTTTTAATTCTATGTAATATATATGTAGCCCTAATCAGATTTATATCACAATATTTCTCCTTGGGTCTTAAAAGAGAGTTGATGACAATTCGTTACCATAAATTGTTTTATATTAGTTAGTATATGTATATTTATTTACCTGATGGCTTTATCTGTTTCCCAAAATTTGTTTGGGATTGTTGAAAGCATTGTAACTTCTATAAATGGCTATTTTCTTGTAACTGTCAGTGAAATGAATATGTACATTGTTTGCTTTTTTATATTTCTCTGGGATTTTTTTGTTTTAGGGTTAAACATAGATTTTTTTTTTTTTTTTTTTTTTTTTTTTTTCTTTGGCCGATGACTTCTTCAGCTAAATATTACTTTCATTCAGCTGTCTACAGAAGTTCACTTTTCATTGTTTTGGTTCAATTTGCCTGAAAACACAGAGACTTCATCTCATCAGTGAAGAAAGCATTTCATTATTCCTACAAATCTTTCCAGCGAGCACAGAATTCTTCATAAGGACCAGATAGATCTCTTCCACGTCTGTGTCAATCACATAAAGCCGAAATGTAAAGGACACTGAAGCCTTCATTGATTGTACTAATATGATGGTGTTATATACTACATAATTAGCTAGTTAAGGTTTTCTGACCTGACTTTTCTTTTTGTCTTCCTAGGTATTTATTTGTTAGTTATCTCTTTTAATCTTGTGTATCTAAATTAACTTAGTTAATAGTTACCCACCGAATATCTATGCCAAGCAACTAGGAAAGAATGTTTATTTTATTTCCCCTTATAGGGGAAGAGTGGACTGGGAACAAAAATGTATAGGCCAAAAGGCCTTAGGTTGTCATTCATTCACTTTCTTATTCCTCTCATGAACTATTTGAGTATAGTATTTTTTCAGTGCTAATATGCTTGATTATGTCATACTTTTCATGTCTTCACCCTGAGTTGAAAGCCTGCTAGGAACCTGTATAAAAAACACTCTAAAATTTCAGAACAAGTACCACAAAACTCAGTATCTTTTATTTAAATGCTACTTAAATTATTATTGGAATCCAACTATCACTAACTAGGATACATTTTTATAAAATGTTTCTCTGTATCGTGAAATTACTTGCCCAGAGGCAAGAGTTTTGGGGGTTTAACATGTTTTGGGATCTTTTTTAAGAAGAGGATAAGAGCAACAAGTTTATACTAGTTAATTTAGTTATATGATTTTAATATTAGTATTATTCATCAGTAGTTCCCAACCCTGAATGTTTATTAGAATTACTTCAAGGCCTACCTCGTGGCCTTGGCTGAATCTAGAGTGAGGCCTGGAAGTTGAGGTGATTCTGAGAGCCAGGTCAGGGAAATCACTGTTTTAAATAATGTGACAGTGATTTGAGAGTAGGCAACAAAATAAAAGTTTACCAGACATTTCTTTGTGGCAGAGTTTTGTTTTTCTTTTTTTAAAAACAGGGACCAGATTTCACAGAATTTACTCACAGTACTTAAGAGGAATAATAAAGAAGATTGAGGCTACTGCTTATTATCATTTTTGTGTTTTCATATTTTTTTAAGATTTTGCATTTCTAGCACTTGGAAATCTGATCATATCTCCACAGCTGAAGGACATGTCCCTGAATGAAACCATTATATATATTAACTGTAAAATATTTCACTATTTTTTTATTTGATAAATCTTTGTAGAAATAAGCAATGAAATACTACTTTCATCTTTTGAAATGGGGTTTTTCAAGACAGTGTCCTTTTGGCATTAAGGTAGTGGGGAGTTAATATTCTCACTGCCTGTTTCCACATAATATAAAGTCATGAACATTAAAAAAAAAATCTCAATTTAATTTCCACTTATTTACTATGCAGTATAGCCATGAACAAGTAATGTAGATTTAGTTTTCTCATCTTTAAATGACCTGATCACCCTACCTCACAGGGTTGTTGTGGGGATAAATAAAACTTTTATGGAAGCACTTTTCTTTGATGATATTTTATCAGCCATTAGAAACAATATAATTTCTAACAACATATTTGCATAGTGCTTTTTTGTTTACAAGTACATAATTTTTCCAATGTTTTCCTCTTGATGCCGATCTTTAGGACAAACCTATGAGGAACATAAAATAGGCACAGATAAGGGACAACATAAATAAACAGATTCAGGGCTGATTCAAAGGCACACAGCCATTGGAGGGGAGAGGATCTTGAATCAGAATAGTCATTGGAACATCCTTCCCATTGCTTTAGCATTCTTGAATAATATGTTTGTATATAATATGTTCCTAAAGTTTATAAATTAGTTAACTAGCCAATAATATGTTCTTAGAAAATGTAAGAAATGTAAGAAATTCAATGCAAAAATGTGTGGTACAAACTTAGGCCTATAGGTAATGATCCAATTTACACTAGAAGAAAATTCGAACTTGTAATTTGTTTACAGGTAAGGAAATTAATCTACAAAAATGTCTTCCCAAAATCACAGAATTTTAATTGGGACTAGAATCCAGGTCTCTTAAGTTTATGTCACTCCAAACTCATGATTTTAGAAGGGAGGACATTTTTTAATTTCTGAAACTACAGTGAGCAGAAAGGAATGAAACACTAGGAACTAATCTGAATGAAGGAAGAGTTCGTTTTGAAAAGCAGAGATCAAATGGTTACAGAACCAGATTATGATAAACTAGGATGAGGAATTTAAATGAGCTGAATAACTTGTGAGCCAGTAGTAGTTGTAATAGTGTTCTGTTCCCACCTCAGTTTCAATGAATCTGATGAGACTTGGGAACTTACTTAAATTCCAAAAGGAGTTTGGTACACAGGTGGGGTTGAGAGTCACTGCAGTGGAAATAATTAATTTGAAATAAACAGGCTTCACTCTGGCCATACCACCCTGAATATGCCTGATCTCATCTGAAATATGTGAACTTAAGATGAATCTTGTGAGCATAGTTAATGAAATCATGGAGTTCAGAGTCAAAAGACCTCAATTTAAGTCCCAACACAGTCACTTACTAGACCAAGCAGCTGTTCTCTGAGCTTCAATTTGTTCATCTGTAAGACGGAAAGGTACTAAGATGTACCTTTCAACGTATCAAAGCATGTTATAAACTGTAGAGCAATATGCAAGTAATGAATGTTAAGGCAGCTAGTTCTGTGGAGGAGAGTGAGAAAGTGGAAGAACTATGCAGAGTTTTAGATGTCTGAAACCACAGGGCACAAGTGAGCAGTAGAATCAGGATATTGTTCTATCACATGGCAGGGAGAATATTTTTAAGTGGGGCAGTGATGTGCATTAAAACAAATGAAGATGGGAGGTGATATGGAGAGGTCACCATGATGGTTGAAAACCTGTTTTAATGCAAACGAGATTAAGAAAAATTGGAAATGAGGAAGAGTGGATATGGAATGGTTTAAGAAGTTGCCTAGTTAGGAGAAATAAATCAGAAAAGTTTAAAAGTATGTTAGTCCCTTATGAATGGGTGAGCCAAATGAGAGTGCTTTTAGTAGGTACTATTAATAATAAAGGGAGCTCTGGTAGCATAGTGCCTAAGGCACTTGACTGCTAACCAGAAGGCTGGCAGTTCAAACCCATCAGCCACTCCTCAGAAGGAAGAGGGGGCAATCTACTCCTGTAGTGATACTGCCTTGGAAACCCAAGGAGGGGTCGCTATGAGTTGGGTCCGACTCAACGGCACATAACAACAGTAAGTTTTAATGTTGTATGTGATGTAATGACAGCAAAAGTTATTTTGAAACACTGCCTTACTATGTGAGATATGCCAGGCTCTGCAAATAGCAGATGACAGCAAAACTAACTTGGTCCTCAAGCTTACAATCTAGCAATGGAAACTGACATTATTGGGAAAAGGGTCATAAAGGGGAAAGAAATGAGAAAGCTAGTAATACAATCTGGAGTCTAGGTTGTGTAAACAGTTAGCAAGGTCAGCTGCTCACCAAAAGGTTGGAGGTTTGAGTCCATCCAGAGGTGCCACAGAAGAAAGCCCTGACAATTTACTTCTGAAAAATGAGCCATTGACAGTAGAGAGATGTAAATCAAAACAATGAGATACTACTATCTGGTCCCAGCACTGATAACAAAGTTCAACAAGACAGAAAATAACAAATGTTGGCAAGGATGCGGAGAGATTGGGACTCTCATACACTGCTGCTGGGACTGTAAAATGGTACAACCACTGTGAAAAGCAGTATGGCAATTTCTTAAAAATTTGGAATTAGAAATACCATTTCACCTGGCCATTCCATTAGTAGGTATATATCCTAAAGAAGTGAGAGCCATGAAAGAACAGACATATGCACACCCATGTTCATCACAGCACTATTTACAATAGCCAAAAGATGGAAACAACCTAGGTGTCCATCACCTGAAGAATGGATAACCAAACTATGGTACATACACACAATGGAATACTATACAACTGTAAAGAATAATGTAGAATCTGCAAAACATTGCACAACGTGGATGAAATTGGAGGACGTTATGTTGAGTGAAATAAGTCAATCACAGAAGGACAAATACTGTATTAGTCCGTTATTGTAAAAAGTCAAGGAAAGGTTTATATATGGAAGGAAATTTCTTTGTTGGTTACCAGGGGTTGGAAGGGAAGGGACGGAACACTGTTAGATAGGTAGAGACAAGTGTTAATTTGGGTGAAGAGAAAGGCAATGTACCAAATGTGAGTGATCAACCTGGTGGCATTGAGGAAGACAGGTACATGGGAGGTACAGACAAGAAAGATGAACCCTTTTGCATATACAGTACTGCGTTGTCAGTGAAGGCAAACATGGATATACAGGTGGATAGATGATGGGTGGATAGGGTGAACAATATGGTATGTCTGTGCAGAGGGGAGTGTGCCCAAGACCATGTATAGAGTTGGCAGACAATGTTCCTACAAGTATATTGCTATGTTCTATAGGAATTCCCAGGTACATAGTAGAGCTGACAAGGGACAAGGTTGTAGTCAATTCTTGGCCACAGCCAGCTACCCAGTCAGTAGTTGGACCTGTGGGCTTGGGACCATAGTCACAGGGGACATCAAGCTCAATTGGCATAACATAGTACACAAAACATTGTTCCACATCCTACTTTGGTGAGTAGCGATGGGGATCTCAAAAGCTTGCAAGTAGCCATCCAGATGCAATGATGGGTCTCTCCTCATCCAGAGCAAAGGAGAATGAAGAAAACCAAAGATTCATGGAAACAATT